TCTCCTCCCTTCCCCTCCCGTCTTCCCCTCTCTCTCATTCTCGCTCTCACTCTCACTCTCTCCCCTAGAGTTTGAACCCTGATTGAACCTTTGCACTGAGCTATATTCCCAACACTTTTTTATTTTTTACTTTGAGACAGAATCTCACTACATCACCGAGTTGTCCAGGCTGAGCTTTGAATTTGCAGTCTTCCTGCCTTGGCTTCACAGAGTGCTGGGATTATAGGCATGCACCACCACACCCATCCTAGGCTCCTGTTCACTTTGACCGCACACTATTACTATAGGAAGTTGATTACCTTTGCCATCTATGGTCTACTGGACAATCAAGTAGCTTTAAAGAGTTTATTCTTTCACATTTGCATGTCTTTCTGAGTATCACTATATGCTGTTGGAAAACCACATGGTAAATCATTTGAAATTTGAATTTTTACTACTAGAAAGCCATAAGGCCTGGCTGAATCACCATTTCTTATGCTCAATCATTTCTTACTCTCAATTCACTAGCTTATGTATTAAGAAAGCAAGCAAGCAAGCAAGCTAGCTAGCTAGCTTCTGAATTGCATATTTGTACACCATTACTTAAGTCTATTATATTGGTTGCACTTATATCACGTTGGGGCAGCTTAATTAGTTTCTTTTGGGGGGGTGTACCAGAGATTGAATTTGAGGACTTCACACTAAACTACATCCTCTCCATCTGTTGTTTGTTTTGTTTTTATTGTGAGACAGGGTCTCACTACACCACTAAATTGTCCAGACTGGCTCAAACTTGGAATCTTCTTGCCTTCGTCTCCTGGATGCTGGAATTACAGATATGTGGACTACACCTAGATTTTTCTTTTGGACAGCTGAACTTCTTGCTTATTGTTCATAATATAATTCTACATATATGAGTTTTTGCTCCATTAAAGTATATGACTAATTACTAAAGTATATACTCAATAGAATGTGTAAGATTAAGATAGTCTATGTTCCTATATATTATTAAAATTAAAAAGGAAAACTCTTAGTCAAGATAGTGAAAGATTATGGACAACAATTGCATTTTTTTGCAGTGAGAATCCACATTTTCTGTCAGCACACCCCAACTAATGACTATCGTGCCAGAGCCCTTTGCAATACTAGAACTCTAAAAGTCCATTGCCTTGATTTAGAAATGAGTCACTTCTCTGAAGTTCTGGGAAAATCAGGCCAACTCAAATACCCCTTGAGGCATGTTGGATCATTTTGGAAATGCAACTGGGCATCATCTTGAGCTTAGAGTTTTCCATTTTTTCCCCAAGTGTGTTAATATGTTGGATGTGAATAAAACTTGGATGATAAATTGACCTAGAAAGGAAGTGCTGAAGAAAAAAATTAACTCAAGGCCAGTGCATTAGAATGAATCAGTCTGCAGTGTTCCCATCACAGCTTTATTTAAAGGACTCTTAGAAGCACAAGTATAGCATTAACTTTCATGAATTTGAAACTTAAGTTATGCCAAAGCAAAACAAAAACCCCAAAACTCTTTACAAAGACCACAGCACTGCAAGATGCAACTGTTTAATGAAGGCAGATTTTGAAAACACTGCAGTTTTGAAAATGTACATTTTGACTGGAGAAGTTCTAAATATTTTCTTTTGAAAGACAACAAAAATCACAGGAGTATTAGAACTGTTCACTTCCAGGATGCAAACAAAACAAGTAAACAATAACCACAGCAGCAGGGAGCTTATGACTGGAGCCATGGGGAAGATGGAAAGCATTCTCCTTCCATCCTGGAGACTTCACTGGTGGAATTCAGATTTGCAGGTAGTGAACA